CTGATTTCCAGATATTCATTCCCTCACTTCCCTTCTCTAGACTTTCTCAGGAGATCCAATGAAGGCTCAGGTCACAGCGAACTTGAATTCTAGCTTTGCCACACCTTCAAGCCAGGGACTCTTCAATAAGTAAGTCACTTGGGCCTTGGTGCTTGCATCTGAAAAATGGAATGGGATTAGCTATTGTCACAAGCAATCATGTGGACTTCAGGAGGTTCTTAGGCTGGTGTGCTGCTGTCCCCAGCTCGGGCAGGACATGTGAGCCGCTCTCCCCTCACTGGCAGGAGGACTGTTGCAACCACTGCACCTGTGCCCACACTGGGGAGGAAGTGGCTCCCCGACTGAGGGGCTGTGGCTGTGACTCAGGGGAAGTCGTCTGAGCAGCTGTGGGTGTTCTGGGCCCCTTCCTTCCCCCACCCCCCTCCCAGGGCAGCAGGTTTCCTAAGCCAGCCCTCCTGGGCACAGCCTCACTGTCAGGACAGCTCTGCAGTCCATTGGTTTCTATGGTAACCAGGCTTCCTGGGAAGGATGGGGAAGTCCTCCAGGATCAGCATGGGAGGTGTGGGCCCCTGCCTCATCAGGTCTGCCGCCCAGGGCTGAGTCTGGTTAGGAGTTCATTAATAACACAATGTATTGCTGTTCTTTGTGGAACACAGTTCAGGGGCCCAGCTCCAAGGCTGCCCTCTTTATGGTACATCACAAACTTGCTGAGTGGACTCAGTCTAGTTTCTTAGATGAGGACTTGGAAGCTCAGAGAGGCTAAGTAATATTTCCTGAGGTCACAGAGCAGTGAAGAGAAAGAGTTGAAGTTTGAGTCCAAGTTCTCCTAATCATTAAGAGTGTGTTCCTTAATCCCAGCACTCAGAAGGCAGAGGCAGGTGGATCTCTGAGTTCGAGGCCAGTGTGGTCTACAGAGTGAGTTCTAGAACAGCTAGGGTTACTCAGGGAAACCTTGTCAACAATAAATAAATAAATAAAAATAAGAAGGAGCACTCTTTATCCCCTGCCCTTTTCTGTCTTGGGACATCCACTCCCCTGGCCAGGAAGGCACTATCATCGAAGCCATTATACCAGAGCTCCTGATGAAACCACCGGCCCAAAGCACATGCCTCTTAGAGCATGGCCCTGCCTCATCCTCTATACCTCTCTCCTCTCCCAGGCCACAGGCTTGAATGCAACTTAGGACAGCTCCCCCTCCCCAACCATGGGCCTTAAGTTCTGACTGCAGCTAGGGAGGCCTGGGTTATGAGGACAGTGCTCTGAGGAGCACAGGCTTGCTGCTCTCCTGTTGGGTCAGCCTTGGGAATGGGGAAATGAGAAGTGATGGGACGTAAGTTGTAAATGGCCAGGGGTGAAACAGGAGACCAGCTGAACCCTGAGGAGGAGGACAGGGTTGAGCTGGCCTGCCTAGCAAGGAGGACTTTCCCACTTGGACAGGGCTCAGAGTGACTGTCACTCTTAGAAGGATGGAGAGTTGCTACCTTAGTGGAGATGGCTGCCAAGGAGTCTGACGGGGACAGCCGACAGGACATGGCCTCACTGATACTGCTTTGTATGAGCATGAGGGTGGAGGATTAGCTGCCCCTCCCCCTTCCACAGTCACAGTGGGGATGTGGAGGCCCTCAGAGCAGCATGTAGGAAGCCAGGCAGGCCTGAGTGGCAGGGGTCTTCCCCACTTTTCTCATCTGGGTAAGAAAAGAAAGGGCAGTTGGAAGGAGGATAGACCACACTCGGGGCAGGCCGCTTGGCTGGAGGGTACATGCCTACATTCATTGGCACTCCTGCATCCTTAGTCCCCATTTCATAGAGGGAAACTGAGGCTGAGAGTTCTGTAGTGGCTCTTCCAAAGCCTAGAGCTCATAAGTAGGTAGAGCCAAGATTCAAACCAGGTTCACACTGGCTCAAAGCCAGTGTGTGGCCAGTATTCCCAGGAATGGAGTGGGGGAGGTGCCCTCACTTACGTTAAAATGATATTAGGGATGAAACCCTTGGCAAATGGCTTTGATAGGGGAAAGTGGGGGAGGGAAGTCCAGAAGTCCAGAAGGCTGCTGGTGCGCGCGCATGCGTGTGTGTGTGTGTGTGTGTGTGTGTGTGTGTGTGTGTGGTGTTGGTGGGTGAGTCATGGGGCAGAGGAAAACAGTTCTGGGAAACTTCCAGCCCAACAAGGAGAGACATGCTAGAACTGGTCTTGCACAGGGCACTGAGGTCTTGGTCAGTGATGGTGAAGGTGATAATGAGACCTGGTCCTCTCTCTCCAGAGGGTAGTGGTATCCTGTCTCGTGACTGTCATCTTCACTGGGCACTGTCTAAGAAAGGACATTGACTGCAGACTTGAGGAAGATAACATGCTTCTCATAGCATTTTTTTTTTTTTTTGTGAGTTAGCCCCTTCCTTCCCCACATGAGTAGGGAGACTGAGTCACGGACACTAAGCAGCTGGCTTACAGACCCACTTAAGCCAATGGAGATTCCAGAAGTGAGTCCACGAAGCAAGTGTGTGGCCCTTTGGCTGTGGCCCAAGCAGTCGCTTTCTGAATTGGGCTCTGTCCAGGGTCTTGCTTCTCCTTAGACCAGCTTGGGGTTGGGTTAGGAGCAGGGGTTGGGGTAGGTGGTTCCCACATCCCAGATGAGCATACTGGAACTCAGAGGGAAGAAGTAATTTGCTCTAACTGCCAATGACACCGGCTGAGCTTTAGTGCCCCATGCCCATGCTGTCACAGAGGCCTCACTGAACAGTCTGGCTCTCTTCTTTGCAGCTGCCTCTCTGCATACTCTAACCCAATTTCCCTTATGGCCTCAAGGTCTCTAGGAGGTTGGAGTTGAAGTCCTATTTTGCAGATGAGGAAACTGAGACTCAAGACTACTGAGGTGACTCACCCAAGGTCACAAGACTAGTGAGGGGCACAGCTGCATTGAGTCAAGCAGCCTGTCACATCTGGCTTCATGAGAAAGTTTAGGAATCCAGGGGCCTTGAAGAGCGGGGCTAAGACAGAAATGGCCCACAGCAAGTGTTGGTAGGAGTGGGGGGGGGAGCTGGCGTGTATGCACATCGTGGAAGGCATGTGGAGTCCTGGCTGTTCACTTTGTCCACACACTCAGAGGCATGGGAATGTGTGATTGCACCAAATACACACAAAGACTAGAAACAACTGGACATCCCTCATGTGATTGGGAAAGACAAACCTGTTGGATGGGAGAAGCTGGGCAGGCAGGTGTTCATATGCTTTGTGATTCTGTTTATGCAGCATTTGAGAAAATCCAGATGAAACTAGAGTAACAGACATCAGACCCGTGACTGCCAGAAGTGGGGGATCAGTATATAGCTGGGATGGCACATACCCACTACAGTCTGGGCATGTGAACCTGGTGTCCTGACTGGAGGAGGTAGTGACATGGATTATCTTCAAGGTCGCCTATGCATGGATTAAAATGAAGGGTCAGAGGGGACATGAGAAGGATGTGGCCAGGTGACTGACATCTCCATCCTTAGAGGAGGGGTGGACTGGGCTGAGCTCTGAACCCTGTGTGGTCTGAAAGAGGAAGGGTTAGAGAGGCTGGGGAGTGTGTTCAGTCTGTCTGGGGTCAGAAGAAAGTGGTGACCTGGGCTGAGGAATGGGGCCTCACCTGGAGCAGTGTGACTAAAAGACATCCCTTCTTCCCCTTGGGCCTGCTGAGTGCCTCTGTGTGGAACATGGACAGCCTTTGCTGTCCTGCCAGCACCCTCAGGGGGCACAGGAAGGAAAAACATGGCCACTCATTTTATAGATGAGGAGCAAGGGGACTGGGTGTCAGGGTCGGGGGCCCAGGCCTCGCTCTTCTAGCAGATCCAGTGGTGACTTTTGCTGTCATTTTGACATTTTGAACAAAGCCACTGGAGCTCTTCCTAATGTATGGGCTCCACCCTGGCATCCAGAGCCAATGCCATTCCTGCTGATGTGTTTGTTGGGATGGCTTATTTCATTTCAAGAGTCTGGCAGGTTGAAAAGGAACCTGGGTAATCTGGAGACATTCCCTGGGGCTGGAAGACATGGGCTCAAGGATGTGGCATTGGGCAGCAGGTGGCTTGGAGGAGGGAAGACAGCTTCTGAGCTCTGCCTTGGAGTGAGTTTTCTAGAGGCTGCCATGGGAGAGAATGAGATCCTGCGGTACAGAGGGCATTTGGCACTGGCCAGCACACAGGTTGGTTGGGATGCCGTTGTCCTGTTGTTTGCTGGCCTCTACATTCCAGGTGAGCTCTCCTCACCTGTGGAATTGTCCTCATTTGTGCCCATCTGTCAGGACCTTGTGATGCAGAGTTCTGGGGCTGCCTGGGGGTCAGCCAGAGCCTCACCTTGCCATCCTCTTCCCACACCCTTTCTCGTCTTAGACTGAGGACTGAACGAAGGAGAGGAGCGCTCGTCTCAGACTCTGGTGCCCATTTCAACACCTGGCTCGCTGCCCATCTCACAGTACGTGACCAGGACTGGCCTATGGTTTTGCTGGCCTGCAGGGCTGGGGGCTGTGGAGGATGACGGGCAGATGTGATAGGGTAGAGACTGTGGATGCTGATGGCAGGGAGTGGGTGAGTCCTGGGCGGTGTGGCCACTACCTGAAGCCCCATTCTCTGGGCCTAATGCCTCCTTCCCTCATGAAAACCCTCTCCCTCTCTAGGTCCTGGCTAGTGAAGGAGGCTATCTAGGGGCAGGAGGACCAGCAGGCTGGCTTGCTGGCAGTGGGGATTCTCTGGGTAGGTCCTTCTTGGCAAGTCCAGACCCTAGGACTTAGGAGACTCACTCTGGACTTGGGCCAAGTCCTTAACTCCCTGAAATCTTGTTTCTATGACCCATAAATCTTGTCAGTGAGATCCATCCTGGTCCAAATGCCATTTCTAAAGCCCACATGCCACTCAAGGGCTGACTGTAAGGCCTTGTCTGACTAGTCACCTGGGCTGTGCCATGTACCCAGGGGCCAGGCTGGCAGCATCCTCCTCAACCCATTTTACAGGAGAGGAAACTGAGGCAGCAGCAGCTTCATCTTCTCTCAGGGCCCCGGTAGGCCCTGGCCACACCCTTCTCGCCCTACATTGGGACCTGGGGTCTGGAAGTCCAGCAGGAACGATGGCTGAGGCCAGTGTCTCCCCATGTCCCTCAGCAGAGGACAACATGGCAGCCAAGCAGCCTCCTCCGCTCATGAAGAAGCACAGCCAGACGGACCTTGTGAGCCGCCTGAAGACCAGGAAGATCCTGGGCGTGGGCGGGGAGGATGATGATGGCGAAGTGCACCGGTCAAAGGTGGGCCATGCTAGGGAGGAGGCAAGGCCCAGAGAGCTGCTGAAGCCTACAACTTCCCTGTGCTTCTAGGACCTCTGCAATGACAGGGGAATGATATGTATAGTGGTAGCAGATTTGTGGAAAGAACTCCGTGTTCCTTAGGGGACAGGCATAGACTGTCTTAAAGACACGAGCAGACCCTGCTTGCCCTGCAAGCTGTCCATGTGATTATTGACCCAATGTACAGACGAGGAAGCTGAGACTCTCACTTCCTTGAGGTTACATCAGGGATGGACAGAGCCAGGCTTTCAGCCCATGGTGGGCAGATCCTGAGCTTTCGTTCTTAGCCACCTCTTTGCAACTTCTCTCTTATCTGAGTGCCAAGGGAGGCAGGAGATTTTAGAGCCTCAACTTGAATTTGCAGTGAGGAGACCTCTATGTCAGTCAGAGGTGCTCTGGGCCCTGAGTGTACACAGGTGTGGGGAGGAGTGTGGGTAGGTGGGATGCTGAAGGTCGCCTTCCCTGATGCCTCTGACTTCTGTGTCCACAGATCAGCCAGGTCTTGGGCAATGAGATCAAGTTTGCTGTGCGGGAGCCTCTGGGGCTCAGGTGAGTAGCAGAACTTGTTTTGATAGTTTTGTGTCCTGGTATGTGTTAGGTCCTACATTACTGGGCCTTGCTCTGGATTCCAGAGCATACCTTGTTCAGACCTCCCCAAATAGCCCTGGGTTTCTGGGCTTCACAGAGTGTTCCCCTGGGGTCTGAGTTGACAGTATGGCTATAACTTTCCCCTCTGCATCTTCCCAGGGTCTGGCAGTTTCTTTCTGCTATGCTGTTCTCCAGTGTGGCCATCATGGTGAGTCCTTGTGTCTCGGCCCTGGCTGCAAGCCTGTCTGGTGGCACCTGACTAGATGGAGGGAGAAGGTGGTTGGGTGTGACCCTTTGCCCTCCCCCAGAGTTTCCACCCCATCACTAGTTGGTGCTATCTCTATACCAAGGCTCATCTATCAGGGTCTTTGTTAGTTCCAGGGCTGGCACTCTGCCCCTCACCAGTGTGCTGTGCCCTAAAGCAACCTCTGGGAATCCCAGGGAGGGGGCAATCAGGTCCTCCCCTGGGGACCCTGTCTATGTCCTTGGAGGAAGGATGTCCCCAGCATTCTCGGCCTGGAGCTGACCCTGCAGTCCTCTGCTGCCCACAGGCCCTCGCCCTCCCTGACCAGCTCTACGACGCAGTTTTTGATGGGGCTGAGGTTACCAGCAAGACCCCCATCCGTCTCTACGGTGGTGCCCTCCTTAGTGAGTACTTCTGGGTCAGTGGTGGGAGAATGGCGAGGCCCAGCTGGCCTCAGGGCAACACCCGGACCCCTTGGGGACTCTGATACAGCCTCCCTTCGTTCCCAAGCAGGCTGGCAGCCTGGGCGCCTCCATCTGTGGCTGTGCTGAGCATGGGCTGCCACCTTGTGGCCACTAGTGGGATACACATGGTTGGTTGGGCGTATTGAGGCTAATCAGTGCACTGCCCTGGCAGTGAGCATTGAGGTGTAGAGTTGAATGAAGCTTCTGTCCTGCCTACCAGGGTCTCAAAGCCTAGAGGAGGGCAGACTCAGCACAGTGTCCTCCAGATCCTTCTCCCAATCCATCTTTATTCCCAATGCATTTGATCCTTTTGGTTTCTTCTCTAATCTGAGTGTACAACAGACCACAAGAAGCCAAACTAAAAACCAAAAAAAAAAAAAAAAAAAAAAAAAAAAAGAAAAAAAAGAAAAAAAACGGG